ATATGTCTTAGTGAACTGGTAGTCCCAACAACCTTTTCTTTATACTTCTAACTTAGTTATCTCGAATCCTAAGGTATCTCGAAGTTTAATCCCGGAGTTCTTGAAATCAAGATAACATAGTTTGACTGTATCTTTATTTTATTTGTATGCATGTTAAATTTTCTCCATTTTGAAAAATACTGACATTGAGATCTGTAGTTTTGATCAAAAATAAATTTTATGTTCATCCTTTTATTTTGCTTAGAAATATCTAGAAAACAGATTTCTCAATTCATGGTAAGAGTTTTGGACCAAACGTATTGATAATACAACTTTTTGTGAACAACCTTCAATATTCATATATCTGCTAAAAACATTTGTTGACATTTTTTTTAAATCATAAGAAGCTTTAAATTTAGAATTAAATTCAACAACTAATTTGTAGCTTTGGTATCAAGAAAAAACTAAAGAAGAATTTTTTATGACAACTTGTAGTCAGTACATGTATATTAATGTATATCACTAAGTGTTTGTATCAGATACAAAAACTAATAAAGCACTAAACCTACAAAGTCATAATATTTTGAAGTAATATTATCTTTTCTCTGTGTATGGTATTAACTTAAAGTGGTTTGTCATCATCCACACAGAAGAGCTAATGCCTACAAAGGCTAACACCCAACAGGTCCAGTTACTGCCATAAAGCAACATAGCAGCATTCAGCGGCAACAGAAACACAACTACTGAAGAAAAAAAATGTTAAGTTTTTGGCAAAAAGAACATTTCTTGAAAAAAAAAATATGATCAGATACATGATGGGTAAACTAGTATTACAGATTTTTAAATATGATTGTTCATTAGTTTAACCCAACTGTGGGACTTACCCATATATCATAAAGTAACCCTTTGGCGGACCCCAGTAAACACAGGAACAGGAAGGTAGTGATGGTTGTGATGTTGCCAACCAATGGTAGATAAGGGATCTCCTTGACTTCCTTCTCATGTAAAGGGAGATATTCCGAGTTCTGAATAAATAATATTAAAATGACTAACATCTTAACTTTTTTTTACTAATTTAGTAAGAACATCGAAAAACACACACTTGGAAAAAAGCTTCAGTTTCCTAAATGAATCTTTCCACTTTCAAATCATTCAGTAATTTAATTCATATTTTTTCCTACTGATACATGTAATATTGAAATTCAAATTGTCTTTTGCAAGTGCTTTATCCCAATGAGCATGGAAAAATTACGATAAGAATTAAGGAAAAAAGTTTGTATTTAAGAAGAATTAGGATACTTGTATCCAAATGGTTTTCACTTCTCACAATGCATATAAACTTACCCTACAAACAACTATTTTGGTGCATATACAAATGATGAGGTTTGCTACAAGGAAAACTCCAAGATGGCAGAATCAAGATGGGTTGTTTGCGTTCCTTGGTAACCAAATCAACAACTAATGAAAGGCCATCAAGTAAAACTACTAGCATGCATCTGCAAAAAATGAAATAATTGGCATGCAGTGTTTTACATTTTTTGTTAGTCATTGCATAGGTATACTTTTCATCACTCATTTTATCAATAACATTTCATAAATGTAGGAAGAATAAATATAAAGTACATGTAATTTCTGAAATTTATTCAAAATATTCAAATAGATGTATCAATTCAAAATATAACTCCTTTTTGGTATTTTATTTTCATTTGCTAACTTGTGGCCAAGATGTTCTGATTTTGAGAATGCAAAAAAGCACATACAAGACACATGGAAATAAGTCCAAATAAATGAGATTGAAAACTCGTGCCTGGTCCCCAGGATACAACTAAATACATAGGAAACAGTCTTTTTCTGACAAATAATTCCACGGTAAATAAGAGAAACCTTGCTTAAGAAAATGTGGTAAAATAATTTGTACAGCAGTTAAACAAAAATATCAAGATGTTTGAAGTAATAGGGGAACATTACTTGATATTTCCCTTTTTACAGATAACTTGAAGTATACCACTCTCACTCTGAACCAACAGAATAATGTCTCATTTCTCAAGTTTCTAGAATATCTATAGAAGATTGCATTTTACTGTGAATGAATAGAGATTGTTGTGGGGCCCAGATTCATCAAACCTCAAATAAGCCAACACGCATTAAAGATTTTATACGTTTACATAGATTAAGCATGGAATATACTTTAACATGAGTTTGGGATGTTTCAGCACCGATTCCAACTGACTATGATTTTCAAGATTAATCTATACTTACTGAACAATGATAGAACATGATAAAAGGAATAACAATAAATTATAAAGAAATCAAGTATTAAACAGCTATTGAGCGACTGCTGACATTTCAGCTGCATGTACATAATAGATTCAAAGTAGATTAAAGATCAAGTGTCAATAAATATAAACAAAAGTCATTTAAGAGATTTACTGTCTATCTCTGACTGTGCATCAGGAGGGATTAAGACAGTGCAGAATTTATAAGATTTAACACATTCGCCGAAAAGGGGGGGGGGATTTAATATCAATTAATGCAAAGTCTGAAAAGTTAATTTACACAGTAATTTGTATTAAGTCCGAGAAAGGTAGTATTTTACACCGTAGCACTTTTTACTAACTGGATATTTAAAAAAAACATTAATTCAATTGCTGCGTTAAATACATATAAGTGAAATCATGCTATCAAAAATTGATCTGTTGTACAAATCAAATTAAGAAGAAGGTATGGTTTTAGCTGTATTGTGCCCTAAAAATTTAATGTTTTAAAAAAGTTTTGAAACTGGCTTAAATATTAGTTGAGTATATGACTAATAAATCGGGAAGAATATAGCATGATGGAGTACCATTCTGGATATATGACGTCATTAATTTGATGCATTTCTCTATTTTAAACAGAAAAAGCCTCAAAATGACCCATTTCAAGGGTTATTTTCCCTAAGAAAATAGTGTCCACAGCCGTCGCCCACGTTAATTTTTAGATATGTTGTGTAAAGTTCTTTAGAAAATCACATATCTCAAAATCTTTGTGGGCGATGCCTGTGGACAATATTATCTGAAAGAAAACGTTTTAAGAAAATACGGGAAAATGAACAAGTTTATGACGTCACAATTAGCATTTGGAAGGTAATGTGAGAAAAAAGATCTGTATGATCTTTCTGCATGGAATTTCAATAATTCAAAAAGCATGAGTTTTAATTTTTTACATCACTTTTATTTTTAAGAAAAACACAGGGCAAGATTTGTATTGAAAACGTACCTTGTTCTTTGTACATTAATGATATTAACGTTTTGAACAAAGAGACCGATATTTTTGAATTTTTTTTTTCTCTTCAGTTAATTTATTATCAAATAAAACAAATAACTGCATTCAATATTTAATTCAAACATAAAGATATCATAAAATTTATGAAGATGTGTATGTTTGATTTACTGATCACGTCAAATGAATTCATAATATTTTCAGGTATTTTTTTTTTTACATCCCCACTAATTTAGTCGGTCATGCTAAACTGATTATTTATTTATATACATATATAATCTGAAAAATATTTTTTTCCACATAAATTGTTAAACTAATATTTAAACATATATTATAAGTATAGCTTGCAGGATTCATGGTCTATTTATTTTAAAACGGTTTTATTTATGACGAATTGATTGTGTTATTTATACACTTGATTATACAAGATGGACGCAGGGATTTTAGTTCTTTGTGGTTTAACTTGATAATCTGTGAAATTTCTACAGATGGTGGTCTATGACCAGGACGCAGATTTACATTTTACTACAAACACATGGTTCTGTCAAATTTACGACAAGATTTCAAACGCCCGCGGGAAAGTCAAATAATGACTTTTTTAATGTTTCTGTGAAAAATACGAATATTAGATTCTAATTAAGATTTTCCATTCTCACATAAACAAACAAAGCCAATCTTCCATGTTAAATAGTACGTTGAAATACACAAAATCTTCAAAAGAATCTAGTTGTTTATAACTTGATATTCGTGCATTTGTCATGCTGTTATTCTTTGTTGTTTGTTATTTGCTGACTATAAATGAAAAATTAATGCATTATAAAATATTTACACATTCATTATGTACATGTGTCGTAATGGTTGCACCTTTTTCATACTCGCCGTAAAGGAATGATAAATCACATTGATTAATTTATATAAATCCCAGTGCATGCATATTCACAAGCATCTCCAAACCACTTTAAACTTTAATGGCCATCTGAGGTCTTTTATACATGACAATACGTGAGTAAACCTCAGAGTCGATTGTTTTGGGCCGAGGAATACACGTGAATTTTGTATTCACTTGATCCACTGATAGTACCGCATTGGAATACAAGCAATTGTCCACAAATGGACCTATACAATGGAGTGAATAAAATCCAAAATTTACCTTTGAAAAACAATTGTGTTAAGAATGCATCATGTCTTTCCGAGAGCGATTTCAAAAACTGTCCTTTTCCAGCCGTAGTATTTTTTTGTAGTAACTCATAATGCAATTCAATTCATTTAGCTGGTTGGTCGATTTGTCAGTAACGCTAGTGCCTCATTCAGCATGTAGATTTATTCTGACGTCACAGAAAATAGTTTCCTGGTTCTGTTAACCAAATGGCAATTCTGTATTCGATTTTCATCCCTGGATTTAAGTGTAAAATTTAAAGATTAAAATATAAAATTTACAGATGAGAAGGTAAACTTTACACATTAAAGTATGATACAATGTATTTGGAGATTAAAGTTAAGATTTTAAAGACAAAAGTGTTAATTTATTGGGATTATTATTTACATTTTACTGAATAATTTGTAAAATGAACAATTTATTGAATGTATTTAACAGATTAAAGCGTAAATCTTACAGTTTAAAGTGTAAATTTTATAGATAAAAAATGATAAATAAAAAAGGTGTCTATGTTGCACGAATACGCTTCCGTACCCGGAGGCTATTAGTTATCACGCAACAACTTTGAATAAAAGTCAAGTTGGGTGGTTTGTTTATATAAAATAACATGGCGGATGGTGAAACAAATTATCCACTGGGTTCACCATTACAGCAAGTACATATGTGTGAGGAACACGATTCAATCATTGACATTCTGTGTGAGGATTGTTATGCATTTATTTGTTCTGTCTGTGCAAGATTGAACCATAATGATCACAAATGGGTAACTCAAGCCACGGCAGCTTTACAAAGAAGAAGAGGACTCCATGAATATCTTTGTAGTATAAAGGAAGAAAAAATATCAAGGATTGACGAAGACATACAGAAGATGGTGTCACAGATCGAAGAAAATGAAAACATTTGTGATGTTCAGATAAAAGACTTACAGGAGCATTATAATGAAATCATATTCAAGCTAGCAGAAATCAAGAAAAATCAAGAACATATACTGAAAGACAAACTATTCAAAACGAATGAAAAGGTAAAGAATGCAAAAAATCAGTTAGAAAAGAAAAAGAAACTTATGATTGACATGGTGGAATTCATGGAGAAAAACAATACTTCCATGTCTGATTTCAGCTTGATTGACAATCACAAACAACTTAAAGATTTATTGTTAGAAATGGATACATATTTTAATAATTGTGGACATACAACAAAGTACAATAGAGGAGAATATAAGCAGGATATATTGGAGTATATGATGGGTCAAATATTAGACTTAGATGACATTTGTCATGCTGAAACAAACTCATTCAAATATGGAGAAAAAGGAATTGCTGTTTTGCAGGCATTCTGTGAAGATGAATGTTATATAAAAGGTATTCAATTAGATTGCATTGATAGAGTCAACAAACAAGGAAAAATAAAATATCGATTCAGTGTGTCTCCTGCGGGTGTTTGTGTCACTGATAATGGTAACGTTTATATAACTGATAATGAGAAAAATTCCATTTGTCGTCTGTTTCCATCGGGGCGTGTCTTTGAAATATATAGTACAGAACCATTGATACCTGAAGGAATATGTCAATCAGTGGACGGTGGGCTTTTTTTCACATTAAGAGACAACGAATCTTCCGTCTTTCAATTAAACACATGCAGCAGACGCCTTGTAAAAAAACTTACATTAACCGGGGTCGATGAGTTTGAGTTTCAGAAGGACAGTCGTACGAGGTTGTTTACATGGCCTATCAGAGTCATGCAGAATAGTAACACTGATATTTGTGTTGTGAACCTGACAAGCGACACAACAGGTGAAATTGTGATTGTGTCTTCTTCTAGTCATCTGAGGTCTGTATACAGTGGACATGATCTGCTAGGAAGCTTTTGTCCATTTAACCTTGTGTGCGACACCCATTCAAACATTCTTGTTACTGACCCAACAAACCACAATATCCATTTACTGAGTCCTGACGGAAAGTTTCTGAAGTATTTACTAACAGAGAGAGAAGTGACCTCGCCAAGTTCAATATCACTACATAGATCTACACTGTGGGTTGGAGATTTTTATGGGCGCGTAAAAGTGTTTCACTACAGTCATTCCCAATAAAATAACTTTTCATAGGGAAATTCGAATACATCTTGCATCCATGCCAGCTTTCTATATCATCCTAAAGTATTGGTCACAACAGACACTTAAACTATCCCATTACGATTGTTTAGCAGTATTTCCTTCTGGAAATGAACTCAACTCCTTTAATAATATGAAACCAAATCCTTTTACACATGAACAGTTTGTGTTACAGTTGAGTGGAGAAAACATTTCAAGGCAAAGATTTCAATAGAAGAATATGCCACCGGTTGCAGGTCAGAGCGAAAAATATAGATATATAAATTGAACGGAAACTGAACATTTAGTCTTGGCATCATATCCGTAAGACTAACAATTTACCTTTGACCCTGTGAACCTTTTCTCTCGGCATTTGAACATTTATTCTCAGCAGTGGATCTATTGCTGAATAATATGCTCCTTGCATCGGAAATATATTTTTTTTACCCTGATAACCCAAAAAGAAATCAGAAATGGATAGCATGATACTCTATGACAGGCAATGAAATTGTTTCGATGAAGGGTGTTTCACCACCTATAGGATTTTCCATTTCAAAATTTAGATAGCAGTTCAGCATACGAAAGTTTAAGGGGCTCTTCTAAATACTTAAATTCTTTATGTGTCATTCAATTTTAAAAAGAGAGAGTGGGGTCGAATATAGTGCAATGAAAGTTAAAAGCATAGATGTTTTAAAAATACCAGAAATAAAGGTCTAACCTAGATCAAATACACTGTAAATTGTTTTTGCACTTTCCTTCATAGATGATTTATGAAACGAAATGTGGCCATTTTCGGCTGCATTAACCAATTGAAGAAAAAAATCAACAATTGTTTTATGAGCGAGGAGCGGGGGGTTGGTTTTGGGGAGGGGGGGGGGGGGATATCATGCATTAATTAGCAAACAGTTGACATTAATACATGTTACACATACTTACACAAGTATAACATATGAAGTACAGTCAATTCTGTATTAAGAGACATCAAGGGAAAGTCTGAAATGGTCATATTTGACAGGTAGTCTCTTAAATCAGGGAATCATATTAGGGCAATTTTTGAAGTAGATGCATAAATACTATTTACTATAATAAATGTACGTCTACTTGTATTCCTGTTCCTTATCCCTCATCATAATAATAATTTTCACTCTCTTAATAAATGGAATATATTCAATTAAATTTAGTTCGTAGAAATTGTTTTTTATTCCTAATTGAGTTTAGTTTATTTTCTTAATGCAATATATATATAGGTTTTTATCATATTTCACACTTTACGACAGTGTAATTGGAAAACACTGCTCATAACAAGATTTAACCTAAAATGGAAAACAAAATACTAAGATAATCACAAAAAGGCAATGACTTTTATGCACAAATCAAACATACACTAATTTTTACTCTTCTTGTCAAAACTTCAAGGTTAATTTAGAGTTACTTTTAATGTTTCTTATTCTATATGTTTCTATATGATACCAACTCACACACTGAAAGACTTCATTATGAATAAGTTTTTTGCAAACACTTCCTTCATAATTAATTGGGGTAGAAATTGATGGGGTCGGGGACAATCACTAAGCACTTCATTATTTTTGCTATTAGAAGCTGGGCTAAAAGTCGCTAAATACGGGAAAGAATGGTTGGATGTCGCATTAGACAGGGATCCGGAATCGCCAAATGCAGGTGAAATATATTGAAATATTCTAAGGAAAAAAATAACGTTTGCATATGACAGGAAGCCGCTAAATACACATGATTTTTATGATACTCTGACTGTATATCATTACATAATTTTCTTATATGATTGGAGTTTATTAAATATTGAGACATGAAACAGTTTTTGTCTTTTTAAATCTGAAATCAATGGATGAAAATATATAAACAAGTCTGTATCATGTAAAGCATCAAATGTTACAAATCTAGAAGACTAGAAGATGATACTCTAGTTAGTGCATTTGTAAATTTTCAAACTTGGCACATACGGTCATTGATTTCGATAAAACTTTGCCCATTATTACAACTTGACACTAAAAACATACATCTAATAAAATTTGCTGTGTCTTGATTGCCAAGGTAACAGTCGTTAAAGTTTGAAAAATGAGATTTTCAGCTACTTCGAATCTTTATTGAGCCTAAGTTAAGACTAAGGAAATCAAAAAATTGCTCTCACAAAAACAGTTTCGCTATACATTTAACTGTTTAGAATATATCACTAAGTAAGTGGTAACCATGGGTACATTTGGAATACATTTTAAAAGCTTAAAATTTCTCAATATAATCATTCATATCAGGTGTTATTTGCTCAAATGTAAGCAACACAACCAGAAAAACAATAAAAAATTTGACCTTGAGTAATATGGAATTAGCACTATTATTAAAAAAAATAAATTTCATGGCTGTCATGGTAACAAAGTGTAGCTTCACAAAAGAGCAATATATGATGAATGTCTTTAATGGCTGGTTTTGATTAATGCTGATATCAGGAAAGACATGGAAATTCAAGTCTGAAACACCCGGGCACTATAAGTTACAATATATATAGACTTATATCGTGAGAACATGTTTTAATTTTTGTTTGTAACTCAAAATTCAAAATACCCGTGTTAGAGTAATATGTCAGGCTAATATTCATGTCAAAGAATAGGGTGTTCTAAGGTGGCGTCCCTCTTATTAATAAGCTTCTGACTCATGTCCTCAGAATAACACTTAAATTGTATTGAAACAAAACAAAATACTTCCCGGCAATCTCACTAAACTTTGCTATGCATCATTTATGTTGAATTCAACCTTAACTCGTATCATTCTAAACTTAAGTCATTTAAACTTTCATTCTATACCCAACAGGTATCACTGTCACGTCAGTTTATCTTTTGTTTTCATTTAAAGTGAGCCATATGAATTTTTAACATGCACTATTTTTAAGCCTGTTGACCTTCACCTTTTAAAATTATTGTGGATTTGCACGCCATCTATTGTCAATTCAGTTAATGAATTTTTTGCATTGGTAATTAGTTAACATTATTCCTTTTGCAGCGGAGTCGACGTCTGTTGATTTTGCAGTTGAGTCTGTTGATTTTATTTTAAGCTGTTTGCATTGTATTTCAGTATGTTTTTGCAAATTAATTGTTTGTTTTGTGTAAACGTATTTTTTACCCTTTCCGCGCCCATAGATGTAATTTCCTCGTGATTGGTAATTAATGGTGACACATTTCTAGCTGCCGTAATTTGGTATAAATTGCTTTATCTGCGTAGTTAAAAATAGTGTAAGGACTAAGGTTACCCCTCCCTTGATAAAGATCATCGAAAAGCGTTGTTGTAAATTAGGATTGGGGTAAAAAGCTGAGTGGAGTGGAGTTATATGGAGTCATGAAGTGGCGTCTGTATTGTAACAGTATACAATGTTTAAAAACAAATCGATTCCAGAAACAAAATCCATGCAGCAATTAAAAAAACTAATAACCTTTAAATGGCACAAAGAAGAACAACTAAAATGTGTGTGTTTATGTGGTTATATATATAGAGAGAGAGGGAGAGAGAGAGAACAAAGACTAGATGAGACATTAACAACATCTAAACTAGGGTCAGATATACGAACCTGCACTTCTATCTAAAACAAACAACCCTTGTAAGAGGTGCATGTTGACAGCATTAATATCAAATGGATAAATAACAATCGAATATATCGAGGAACTGGTTACGATAATTAAATGATAAATTTACAAAATTATTTTAATTACCAGTTTTTCTTCTCCCCCTTTTAAGGTTTTACTATTAAAGTGCAAGCTACCCTCTTTGTTGATATTTGAAAGTCATTAGTCCCCCCCCCCCCCCCGTCCAGTATCTCAGTTCATTGTTTGATGTGTTTCAATTTGTAAAAATTAACATATTTCCCTTTTTCTGGTTGAATTGGGGAAAATGCAACAGTAGCTACAATGAAGATATATAGTGTATTTTGTCAACTAGATCCATCAGTTAATTGGGTCCAGGATAAATTACATGTATAAAGAAAAAATATTTATTGAAATATACTCATTCACTCATGCTGTTATTTCTAATTTTTGTAACAATTGTGCTATTAACAATGATGCATCATTCATTAACTTAAAATTTATCATCGTTGTTTCTTGGGTAGGGGGTTGTGCTTTAATTCCTATACATAATTAGTTTCACAAATATTTGAACAAAGAGAAGCTTACTTAATAAATGGGACTTAAAACAGAAATGATATAAATAAATATATTATGATAAGTACCACCAAAGACTTAAACATATTATTACATGCTTACTGTTGAGATATTGCTTTACCCCACCTCTGCTGATTTTTCGATGAAATCCTGGCTTACGATTGGTTGAAGTCTGTCACGTGAAGGGGGTGTATTACTTATACCTAGTCGCTTGAAAATCAATACATGGTCCATACGGAGTTATCGTTCTTTTGTAACGTTCGAACAAGTCGAGTTCACTCGATTTGCCGAGTGTCTGTTGACAATTTAACAGTTAAGTAACGAAGATTGAACCTTTTCCTCCCTTTACTGAAAGTCTTCAAAACTGTCAGTACGTTATTACAGCACGAAACACTCGCAAAACAACATTACGTCACACAACGTGACGTCATAATAGGCATTGTATGAGTAATATAATTTTATAGGCCTAATGAGAAAAACAATTTTACAAACAACAGACAATGAATAAATATTTTATCGGTGGGGTAAATTCGTTACATAGTTTTGTAGTGACAGGGTACGGGATGATACCTGGTTAGTAAATTCCATACCTGGCTCGGCTTCGCCTCGCCAGGTATGAAATTTACTAACCAGGTATCATCCCGTGCCCTGTCACTACAAAACTATGTAACTAATAATACTTGTACATAGGAATATATGGAAGGAGAACACGGGCCTCTTGTTTGGAAAAAGACAGATTATGTAGCTTTCACTATATAACTCGGTATGTTCAGAAGTTAATAGCGATTCTCTGTAATCACTTAAACTTCGTTGCCACGCATGGTCACCGATTTTGATGAAACTTTGTCCATTATTACAACTTGACACCAGATACATATATCAAATAAAATTTCGTTGCTAAGTGTCTTGGTTGCCATGACGGAAAAGTTGGAAAAATTGAGATTTTCAGCTACTTTGAATCTTTATTAAGCCTGAATAAAGACTAGGAAAAACAGACAAACCATTCTCACAAAAACATGACACCTTGTTGCCACTTATGCTATATAGAAACTATTTAGAATTTATCTCTAAGTAAGTGGTAACCATGGGTACATTTGGAATACATTAAAGATGCTGAAAAATGCTGGAAAACTCTCAATATTCACTAATGATAGGTGTTACATGATCAAACTCAATCAACAACCTAAGAAAAACGATAAAAATATTTGACATTAAGTAATTAGGTATTGGCAACATTATTCTGTAAATAACTTTCATGGTTGCCATGGTAACACAGTGTAACCATGCAAAATATGTTGCTAAGATTGGGTTAATGCAACTATCTTGAGGAAAAACAATAAAATTCATGACTGGCACAAATACATCCGTAGGACCTTGCAACACCGACAACATAAGAAAAATTGGGGTTAATTGTTACTTTGTAGTGTAACCATGGAAACAACGTACCAGTTGTTTAAAGTGATATTTTTTGCTGCCTTAGGAATTTACTTACCTTTTAATCAAGAAACATATCATTTGACTCATCTTGAATAGTACATATCTAGTAGAACTAAAGTTAAATATCATATATTGATAAAGTTTGTTGAAAAATACAACACTGTTGCTATGGTTACCAAGAAGAGAAAATGTTCGATTTTGTTAATTTTACATCAATATTAAACCCTATGTGCCAGATTTTTGCATCCAGTTTGAGATTGGGTTGTAGTTAAAATTGAAAATCAGCTTAGTTGTTCATAAATATCAATCATAAAAGTTTTGGGAATCTACATATAAGGGTACGTATCCAAGGAAACAGAATATTTTTTTCAGATTTTTATGCATATTTTTTCGGCTTATTTCCATAGCAACGCTCTATTTAAAGAATTGAATTTGAATTTTTTGAAATGTGAAAATTAAGGTCACACCAACGCCTTTAAAAAATGATCATCAGTTATATAGAAATATGCTTTTTAAAAAGATACAATAAGATTAAAACACTAAGAGAGAAAAATTGAAACCCTTCGTGGTATTAAAACCATGACAACCATTGCCAACCTATAAGAATTATCATATTTCGTCCTTGGTATATGTTACAAGAATCTTTTGTCTACTATTTGCTTGCACTTCAAACTATAATTGTTTTTATTCTTACGTGTATGACTTTATAAAATCAAATGAACAAAAATATTATTTTTGAATACCTTGTTTCCATAGTAACGTATGTAATAGTTGATTTACCAAAAATGTTTAAAATGCATTTAATACATCATGACTTTAACTTTCAGAAACAGTCAATGCCACTTGTTCGCTTTGCTGCAAGCGGTAACCGTGGGACTCTGAACATGTTGAAAAATGCCATTTTTCAAACTTTAGGCCATGTTGCCATGTTGCTATGGTAACCATGACACGTAGCAACCAATTTTTGCCTGATTTGAGTTAACGGTATCAAAGACTTTTATCATAGAGAGTTTGGAGAAATTCTGAGACTATGCGTGCCACAGCTCCTATATAAAATTTCAAGTCATTACAGAGAATAGCTCTTAATATTTTGTCAACTTTATAGTATAATATAGTCTATAGTATATAATAAATTTATTTCATTTTGTCTTTGATGTTGCTGAGGCTGTCAATATTTCCCTTACTGTGTACAATATTTACGTTATTCCACTTAAATTTTATTTCAAAATATTCTTTACAGTCTTACGAGCATTTTTTGCCAAATTGCGAAAAATTTCTAAAAAGTTTTCCTGAAAAAATCTTGTAGTAGAAGACAATGCCCATAATTTGAAATATATCCAGAGATGTTATTATCCATAGAAAAATCAGGTCTCAATTATCTGAATATCATACAGATGTGTTGCAAAAATTAATCATATCTTCTCAGTAATTTTTTTTTAATACAACCCATGTTTGTTGGTAAAATTATAACCCAGTTGACACTCCTGAATAATGAAGAAATTTACATTAGGTAACATACTTTCTTGTCTATCAAGAAGTAATTTATTTCACAATTACTGACTTGATATTCTTGAATTTTTTGTCACTTTGAACTTTGAAGGTAAATATTACGATATCCAAGATAGATGAAGAACACATGCCTAATAAATTTATGGCTTACTTAATCTCCATTATCTGGAAGGATCATTTACTATCAAACATTTAAGCTAGTGTTAATGATCTTATAACTCATACGAAGAATACAAATTAATTTTAACTGCTGGATTTCTTGTGTATACACGTTTCAGGAGCGTTGATGTAATTAGTGTCATTTACGACCATATATCAATTAATGGACGCTTATACTATGAATCATAAGAATTATATTTTTAGAATATAGGATCTAATATTTTATTTATTATAATTTCTTAAATAACAAACATTACAATTATGTTAAATTGATAACAGATAAAATATATTTTATAAGTTGTCCAGCATTCCCAACAGGTATATGACCCTGCATTGTTGAAGTTGCAAAACTGATTGTGTGTTGAATGTGTGATTGTATTTTTACTGTAATTCCTGATTTTGATATATTGATACCAATTTGTAAACTATGCCCTACTGTAATTCTAGATTCTTTTCTGCTGACTAAAGCAAAACCAGTAGCATTTGATTCAGTTCATTTTAACAGGTTTAAGGCAAATTTGTTTTTAAAAGCAACAACTGAGTAAGCATTTCTAACGCAGTAATTAAATCGGTCAAGACTTCTTGCCTGTTATGATGGGAGTGCATGTGGGTAACTTAGTCTCTGTTACCAAGCAAAAAAAAAATCAAAACACACAAGCTATTTGCATTGTTGACATTTGAAGGTCATGATTTTTTTTTTCATTTACTCATTCATTGTCAATATGGTTCATACAACATGAACTAGCTCAATTCTGACTGTTTGTAACATTTATTCTGAAATCAGGGAGTTCCCAAGATTCTGAGTGATCACAGGCATCAGCTATAGCTGGGGCATACAGAAATGAGAGATGGAAGGAGGGAAAATTGCGTTAAATGACAGGAATCAACTATTCTTTTCAACTTCCATAACTCTACATCTTTAAAAGCTTCTGTTGTGTTTCCCGAAATTTACCAACAACTAAAAAGTGAGATACGTAAATAGTTGTAATACACAAAATGCGGGGGAAAAACAATGAAATATCACAAAAGAGGACAACTTCCTTTTTAATAGATAACAACAACAACAAAAAATAAATAAATAAATAAATAAAGATTAACCAGTTACTAAAAATAATTATGTATCTTAGTATTTCAATCCTCAGTGCAGCTGTTTGCTATTTATCTGTTTGCTATTAAAGCTGTCGGCACCTTTTTAGGTTTCTCTGATTGAGATAGGAGTGCATAGTCAATATCACCTAGTCTTTAATTGTTATGAACAATTTAGGTAATCCTCTGTGTGACATTTAAAGGTCATTAGCTTTTTGGCACATTAATTTCGTTTCCTATTTCATTCTTTATACATTTTCAAATTGGCAAGGGAGAGACTGTATGTTAGAGAATTTTCAACTCTATATTCTGTTACAATACAGACTCCACTCCAGGACTCCACATAACTCCACTCCACTCAGTTTTTTACAACAAGCCTTTATAATGGCGGCTAGTAAATCAAAATACCCTCTTGGTTCTCCTCAAGAACATATTCAAATGTGTCAAAAGCATGATTTTCCTATCGATATGGTGTGTGAGGACTGTGATGTATTCATTTGTTCCACGTGTGCCAAATCGGACCACAATGGACATAACTGGGTCACGCAGGCTACGGCTGCCATTCATAGGAAAAGGGAACTCCTTAAATATCTAAGGAAAATAAAGAAAGAGCAGCTGCCAGCGATTGATGAGAAAATATTAAAAAAGAAGACTGAGAATGAAGGTACATATGACTCCCTAATTAAAAAGGTACAGAAGCAGTTTGATGAAATCGTAGCCAGATTAACAGAAATTAAGAAAAGCATTGAGGAAGCATTGAAAGGTGAACTTGGTAAGAAAAACAAACATTTAGAAAATGAAACATCTCGAATAGAAAAGAAGAAGAAGAATATACTCGAAATAGTGGAATACCTAGAGGAGAACAACAGTTCTATGTCTGATAAGAACTTAATAGAGAACCACAGAGACCTGACGCATTTGCTAGATGACTTGGACATTGACCTAGAGAACTGTTCAATCCGCTTCAGAGGAGGGGAAATTGATGTTGATTTGTTGGAGTCCATGTTTGGTCAAATTTTTAATATAGATGATATCAGTGCTAAGGAAACAAATTCATTTCAATACGGGGAACATCCGGTTTTAGTTTCAGAGGCTTTAAGTGAAGATGAATGTTACATACGGGATGGAGAATCAGATTTCATTGAATTGGTCAACAGACAAGGCGAGAAGAAGCAGAAATTTACTATTGATTTTAATGATATGTGTGTAACTACTAATGGTATTTATTTCACATTGAGAGAGGAAAGTACCATCTGTTACCTTTCTTCATCAGGATCCATCTCAGAACTTTTGAGTACAGATCCCCTGGTACCTTTAGGAATCTTTAATTCATTGGACAGTGGATTTTTTGTTTCTTTACAAGATTCAGAAACAGATGATTATCCACTGGAATCACACAGCAGACGTTTAGTGAAATACTTGACATTGACCGGTGATGTCATTCACGAGTACGAGTACCAAGAGGACGGTCAAACCAGACTGTTTACATTGCCAGGAAGACTCTGTCAAAACTTTAACTCTGATATTTGTGTTATGAACATAACAAGTGACAATGCAGGTGAGATTGTAATTGTATCTGTCTCTGGTCGTTTGCGATCTAGCTATCTTGGGCAGAACCTGAATGAGAACTTTTTTCCAGTAGACTTGGTGTGCGACTCGACCTACAACATTCTTGTTATTGATCCAGGTAATAGTCTCATCCATTTGCTGAGTCCTAAAGGGGAATTTTTGAAATACTTATTGACAGAAAAAGAAATATCCCCATCAACATTAACACTGTGCAGATCTGCACTGTGGATGGGAACTGCTGAAGGGCTTGTGAAAGTGTTTAAGTATAAAAGTTTCCCGTAATAGTTAGTTCTATTACCTAACCTACTATATAAATTGTAATTAGGTATTTTGAACTGTTTTCTGATTCATTTTGATTAATGCTTTTGCACATCATGAAACAGTCAAACTGTTTACCTGGACACAGAATGAACTGTTGCCTGGCTGAACTGATCCATTATGACGTCATAATTAATTTCCCGTACCTTACAGCTATAATATTGAATTATGTATAAATTGAAGCATTTTCATGACATTCAATTTGAAATTATCATTTGAAAAGTAATCCCGATACCCATATAAAAATATAGTATTCAATTAAATATATCTTCAAAGATGAGGCCAAGAACACCTTTTCTGAGGGTAATATGGGAAAATGTAGGCCCCTCTCATTCGATATAGATCTTTTCCTTAAACGTACGACTCAGCGTATTATATTCAAACTTTCAAGTCATCATTATGTTGTTTACTAAACAATACGTATATACATCAATTTATTAGTGCATGATAATATCACCACCATTAATTTTTCTGATTTTACACCAATCGTTATGAGAATATTGTAAATATCAATTTTGTTTAGTTTGGTTTTAAGAAATAATACAAACTTTTGTCAATGTATTTTAAAATCCATTGATTATTATGTGTATATCGTTACTTTAAGAAATTATAGAAGGTTAGGTTATAAAACACTTATTACATGACAACTCGGGAAACAGTCAAAGTGTTGTCCCTAGATAGTGGGGAAGACCTGGGAAACTGTTGCCTTCGGCCTCGGGCAACAGTTTTCCAGGTCTTCCCCATTACTTCGGGACAACAGCTTGACTGTTCCCCTTGTAGTCATGAAATAAGTGTATAATAATATTGTTGATCCCAAGCTGCCATGTGCAATAGCATTTCCTTATTGTAATAACTATACGCTATAATCTTCATCGAAAGATAGTGTAATAAAATTGAAATTGTGTGCTAAGCAAAACGTACTGAATTTTAGGGATAGCTCGAACACTAACTTCGAAGCAATATATTTTTAACTTACTATATATCTTGACGTATTTCACTCTGAAAACGCACCTTGATTTCCACCTGCCAAAAACTTATCTCTTATCAATCTGCTAATAACAAGGTACTTTGCAAAACGAACGTAGCGTAGACCGGTGAGCCATCTGTATCAAAGTCGGTGCAATAAGTATTTAAACCAGTGCATAAAAACGTAAAATTTGTAGAAAATTCATTGACATATTTTCCAGTGGTGTTTTCATATCCCTGAATTTCTAAATAGAAATAAATTTTTCTGTACTTCAGAGTTATTATACAGTAAAACTTACTGACAAGAAAGTCTTGAGGGCTTAACTTTTTAGTTCCTTAAAATCGAAAGTCTTTATAACCATTTCAAAAAGGTGTAATGACATGAGGGATTGGAGAAAAGATACATATCCTTTTAACCGAGATTTCATAGATAATACCCGTATTTCTTATTTGAAAGTTTTACTGACATTTGACATTTGGTCTAAATCTCCTCTATTTTCGTTAAAATAGCGTAAATGTTGGAAATAATTAAATGTTTTTCAATATATGCATTTAAAATCGTTGGATTTATGCACGTGTTCATTACATTGCGATAATTTTAAAACAAGTATTGTTTATGGATTTGGGACAATCCTAAAATGAGATATATTAAATATAAAACGAATTACCCTATCTACCTGATCAATACATGGGCTCACGACGGGTTTGACTGGTCGACAGGGGATGTTTTCTCTTCCTAGGCACCTAACTCCATCTCGGGAATTTCCAGGGTTCAGTGTTTTATCCCTGTTGAAAGACTTGCATTGCTTTTAGGTTTTTTGACATTTTGATATATTGACGACGTATTGTCAATTAACAATGGCTATTTCCATTCTTATGTCGATACGATATGTCCTGGTGAGCTTGAGATAAAAGATACCACAGAGTCTGACACATCTGTTTCATATTCGGATATTTTACTTGAAAAAGACGTTAATGGTAATCTATCAACCAAGCTTTATGATAAACGTGATGACTTTAATTTTTCAATTGTCAACTTCCCTTACTTATGCAGCAATATACCTTCATAACCTGCATACGGGGTATATATCTCTCAGTTGATTCGATACGCAAGAGCATGCTCTACGTATGTGGAATTTCTAAAACGAGGTAAATTATTGACAAACAAGTTGATGAAACAAGAATATCAGCTGTCTCGTTTAAAGTCATCATTTCGTAAGTTCTATGGTCGATACAATGACTTTGTCAGCAAATACAATTTATCATTGAGTCAAATGCTGACTGACGTTTTTCATACTAATTGTTAGGCCATTATTTACACACTGAATTGTCGACGGATTTTTCCCGTTATTTCCCGATCATGACAAGGAGCACACGGCGTGTGTGACCGGTCGGCAGGGGATGCTCACTCCTCCAAGGCACCTGATCCCACCTCTGATGTTTGGAGGTCCGTGTTTGCTCTGCTCCTATTTTGTATTGTTTAATGGATTTTTGAGCTTGAATACTGTTCGTTATCTCCATATATTTCATTGATCACTGTTCAATATTTTTACTTACCTAATATATGTGTCAAATTGACAATTTTCACGTACCATGTTAATTTTAAAAGAAAATAATGTACGAAATTTAATATGTCACAATATTTGATAGATACATGTGTATATATTTTCATTTTTTCTAATGCATGTGATATATATTCTCCAGTTTGAAAAAATACTAATATTGAGACGTGTTGTTTTACATCTGCAGTTTTGATCATGATCACTAAATGAACAACTTTATTTTCTGTAGTTTGCTTAGTATCAATAATTAAAGTGGATTTTTTCAATTCATGGCAAGGGTTTTGTTCCAAAATTAATGCTTATGCAATTTCTTTGTCAACAACTATCATTATACATATACCAGCTTTAAACTTTTTATGACATTTTCTTAAAATCTTCAAAAAGTGTAAACATAGTATTACATTAACAACTAATTTTTACCTTTGATATCTCGAACATTTCGGGAGTGTTTAAGAGATTGGAGATATATAAGTTTGAGAAATCTAATTCACACATGAATAGATAATCCAGTCAGTAAAATTTTAAAGGTATCCCATGGATGTATGTTCCTGAAGTTCAAGATACCAAGGTTTAACTATATATTGAAACATCAAAAAACAAAAGGAGAATTTTTATTGACAACTTGTTGTCAGTACACATATCAACATTAATATATAAAACAAGTTTCTGTATGAGATACAAAACTAATAAATCACTAAACCTACAAAGTCTTGGTTTCTATATTTTGACTTTTTATCTTTTCTCTGAGTATGGTATTAATTCAAAGTGGTTTGACATCATCCACACAGAAGAGCTAATGCCTATAAAAGGTCCAGCTGCTGCCATAAAGCAACATAGCAGCATTTAGTGGCTACAGAAACCCAACCACTGGTTCTGGCAGCAACATGACAGATGCCCCACATCAAGTAATAAATAGAAAAGCTGTCCAGAATACGAAGAATTTCTACGAATGACCTAACAAATGTCCACTTCGTTATGTTGAAAACATAATATTTGCAAAGGGTTTCGATAGTATTTTGTGGTTTCTGTCATCAAGATTGTGAAATATTTTTATGCCTTATAATAAACACACCTTGAAATGGATGTGTTCCAGTTCTGAGTAATATTTTTTTTTCCAATCCGAATGTGGATGATTTACTAATAATTATATTTTTCCTCTAGTGGAATATGTGGAAAGATTGATGATACTGATCAGAATAGATATCATTGACATGTTCTCTATATCTAAACTATTTACAGTTGTAGCATGCTGTACCTTTTTGGTTTCTGTGATTTTTTTTGAACTGGTGCTTATCTAAAAAGGAACACTTATTTTTATTGTTTCTAGTGTTGCTCAATACATGACATCCCTATTTTGGAAACCTGTAGCTGTTCTATTTGTTCTGTGAATAGTCTTTGGTGATATTTGAATAATTATAAGAATATAAATAACGTTACGGCTGGTTGTGTTTCTCTTCGTTATTTTTCACCGCTGATTCTTTTGGATTAGGTTTTTTATTTAAGTTCTTTTCCCAGGTAATCCCCCATCTAATAATATGACACAAGAATATACTGTGTACATTAAATTGATCAATGAATGGAAGCGTATATATGAAATTTTCTATGAAGTTAAAGTGGCAACTTCAAGTCTTGATCCCGGGATTTTCTTGGTTGAAGACCAATTTCTCGTTATATACACAATACATAGACATTTGTAAATGTAGGAACATCAAAGAATTTTTCCATTGGCTTCCTCAGTGAGATTAATTAAGTAAAATTAGATATTTTAAAGACTGCTATTAGAGTTAACCCAGACATTGGTAAAAGAGATGCATTTGTTGAGGATGGCCAATTTGTCCTTTAACCTTATTATCGGTAAATCAAGATGACATATTCTGTCTAAATCATATAATCTTATTGAAATTCGACCTCATATTTGACTTTTGAGCTATAATTAATAAAATGTTGTCTGACTTTTATTCTAACACGAAGGTATTGTGGATGTTATTCGAAATTTAGAAGAGGAGAAATTGGTAGTTGAGATCCATGAATGGATAACTTGGGAATTAAATGAGTTACGTGCTACTGAAAAGAACTTGCCTTCTTGAGTAGAATAGAATCATTTCTACAATACAAGCATTGTTTGCACATAATTTCATACCAGTTAAATATGTATTTAATGCAAAAGATTTTCTGCTTGATATTACTTGAAAGTTGATCAAGGAATTAAACGTTATCAACTGTGAAATTGCAATATTATGACCTATGACCAAGATAACATATTTCAGGCTTTTGACACATACAATAAAAGAGAATTTAAAGTAACGTGCCATTACTCTGCCCTGTGTATATTCGGGCCATCTCAAACCCTTGTAATGTTTCATTTTATATACAAGGCACAGTAGTTACTAGGAATGATTTAATTTTTAAATAAAGGCTAGGAGAAAGATAGGTACTAGTATATAAATCTCCTGAAAATACAATAAGAATAATTTAAAATAGGCTAACATTAGTAATAAAACATGCAAGCCTGACATGGATAAATTTTCTGGTTATTTTCGAAATATTTGGAACTTTGTCTTTTGTTCTATTTTAAAGAGTACATGTACAATTACTCCTATTTAATGTGCAATTTATCAGTTAGGGGATTTCTATGAAAATAAGATTGATTTTTATTAACCGAGTATTTGTCTGCACAAACCAAAAGCTAACCGCCCACCCCTCTACTCTCAGCCCTCCCTGCATATTTTTGAAAGACACGGTATGGGACAGAAGTAAACAATCTTTTTTTTCGTTTGAAGTTTCATAACGTAAATTATTATGAAATTATCTTTTATTTCTCCTTTTGACAGTTCAATAAAATAAAAAGAGATCAACTACACCTCCTCTATAAATATTCTTAAGAAAATTTAATGTAAACAAAATCAAAATAATTTACATTCTGAACACATAACTGTCTTGTCTTCTGACTGTTAATGTAGTTTAAAGAAATACGGTACTATATATCAACGCATGTTTGCACATTTATGCTAAAACCTTAGTTTAAGCCGTACTTCAATCTTTACTGCAAGTCACTGACAGAGGTAGGTTTATAAAATGGCGGTTTGTAATTCAAAATACCCAGTTGGTTCTCCTCAGGAACATATACAAATGTGTGAAAATCATGGTTTACCTATCGATTTGGTGTGTGAGGACTGTCATATATTCATTTGTTCTACATGTGCAAAAACGGACCACAGTGGACATAACTGGGTCACACAGGGTGTGGCGGCCAGTCAGAGGAGAAAAGGACTTTTAAAGTTTCTAAGGAACATAAAGGAAGTGCAATTGCCGAAGGTGGATGAGAGGATAATTAAAAAGAAGACTGAAAATGAAAGAACATGTGAATCCCAGATGAAAAATGTAGAGAAGCATTTTAATGAAATCATAGCCAAGCTGACAGATATCAGGGATCGCAAAGAGGAAGTATTAAAAAGCAATTTGCGTAAGAAAAACGAACATTTAGCCATTGAGAAATCCCGAATGGACAAGGAAAAGAAACAACTAATTGAAATGGTAAAATATACATGGAGGAGAACAGTAGAACCATATCTGATAAGAACTTCATAGAGAACCACAGAGACCTCACACGCTTGCTAGATGACTTGGACATTAATTGACCAAGAGAACTATTCAATTCGATACAGAGGAGGGGACATTGATGATGATTTGTTGGAGTCCATGTCAGGTCAAATTTTTGATTTAGATGATATCAGTGCTAGAGAAGCAAATTCATTTCAATACAGCGAATATTTAGTTTTACTGTCGGAGGCATTAAGTGAAGATGAATGTTATTTAATGGCTGGAAAATTAGATTTCATTGAACTGGTCAACAGACAGGGCGAGAAGAAACAGAAATTCAGAATCGATTTAAATGACTTTTGTTTAAATAATAATAGAATTTATTTCACATCGGGAGGGGACAATTCCATATATTACCTCTCTCCATCAGGATCCATCTCAAAACTTTTGAGTACCGATCCCCTGGAACCTGGAGGAATATGTAATTCAGTGGATAGTGGGTTTTATGTTTCTTTAGAAGATTCTGAAACAGATGCTTATACATTAGACTCGCACAGCCGACGTTTAGTTAAACACTTGACATTGACCGGTGATGGCATTCACGAGTATGAGTTCAGGGAGGACGGTCAAACCAGACTATTTACAAGACCGTACAGACTCTGTCAAAACAATAACTCTGATATCTATGTTACGAACTCTACAAAACATGAAACAGGTGAGGTTGTGATTGTCTTTGCTCGTGATCGTCTGAGATCTGTCTATCGTGGCCAGAACCTGAAAGAGGACTTTTTTCCATCCGACATTGTGTGCGACTCCACCTGTAACATTCTTGTTATTGAAACATCTAATATCCATTTGTTGAGTCCGGAAGGGGAGTTCTTGAAATACTTATTGAGAGAAAAAGACGTAACACACCCATTGGTATTATCGCTGTACAAGTCTGCACTGTGGGTGGGAACTGCTGAAGGGCTTGTGAAAGTGGTTAAGTATAAAGGTTGCCATGATATTTAGTTATTATACATTGATCCCAATCTGCCGTGTGTAGTAACATTTCCTTATTATATTAACTGCACTTTCGATTCCTCATTGAATGATAGTTGAATAAAACCGAAATCTTGTTTGCTAAGTAAAAAGATCTGAAATTTATTAATAGCTGGAAAACTGACTTAGAAGCAATATATTTTATTTAATTTACTGTATATCTTGACCTATTTCGTTATGAAAGTGCACCTTAATTTCTAACTCCAATAAAATTTATGCGTAATCAAAATGCAAATAACAAGGTACTTTGCAAAATGAAGGCAGTGTATGTTGAATCTTCTGACTTCTTAATGAAAGGAGAGCTAAAGAAGTTTTCAAGTAGCATTAATGTTGTTGCATTTTTTCCAAGGGTCAAGTAATTAAACCAGTGCAGATAACTTTTGAAATATTTCCTACATTGTCGTAAATGGGCAATTTTAACACCTTTTCAATTTTGGGAAAATTAAATGTGCAATGTAAGTGCCTAAGTCAAGACCCAATAACACATAAAAACTTAATGAACAGGAACTTTATTCATCTTGTATTTTGCTATGTAACATTAATTTTTGATTACAGTGGACCTTCAGATATCCGAACGCTTTAGTTTCCGGACGATTCTTCATGGGAACGGAATTTTTTAATGTTATTTTGTCTTGTTTATCAGGAATTCCGCGTTCGGTTTCCGAACGGTCTTTTTTCACAAAATGATTTTTACGTTATATTTTGGTTCATTTATCCGGACGGAATTTTTTAATTGGTCTGTCAACTCTGCTAAAATTTCTTGATCAGGGTATTAGTTGTTGTAAAACACTGGCTTTGCTGTTTGTTTTAAAAGATGATCACCTGCGACCTGTTATCAATAGCTTTGATGCAAGGTTAATTATAGGCCAATAGGTACGCACGAGACTCTCGCTTCTTAAACATGTATTCGATACGTATTAATTAAGGAAAATAATTTTTTAAGTCTATAATTTTTCGTAGTCGGCAAATTTATTTTTTTTACTGTTAGAATACAGTCGTGACATGGTTTTATGTATTGCTACTTATAGACATGACATCGGTGTTTTTTATGCACAGTATTTTGTGCGCAAAAGGGATTCTGTGATTTGATGACATTTATAAAATCACTTCATTATTACACAATCGGTAATAAATCGATCTTGCTTGGGGTGATTATGATTAGCATACGTATACAAGTGCAGTTAATAAATTTCACATTTAATGATATAGCATTGATGGGCGTTCATATTAAATAAGACTCTACCGACAGTTTTTTTTTTCTCTACCAGCTATACAGACACGTGGCTAGGAGAAGTTGACTCATAGACACTGGGAAGTAGAAATAATTAATGTTTTCACATAAACAACGTTTCATTCAATGACAATGTACTTTTTTATTTTATTTAAACAAGCGAGTACTAATATATATTAAAGTATTTAAACAATAAAACAAATTTACTATTACCAATGGTACGACAGGCCATAAAAATAAAATCAACGCAATTTAGGTATCCAGACGCTTCACATGTCCGGACAAATTGACTGGGAACCAAAGCGTTCGGATAAATGAGGCTCAACTGTTGTGATCAACCTTCAATATACATGTATCTGCTTAAAACATTTAATATTTTCTTAAAATATGAAAATTTTAAACATAGCCTTATAATTAACAACTAATTTTTTTAACTTATCTCCAACATTGTGGGACCTTCTAAGAGTTTCGAAATTTGCAGTTTGAGATTCTATACTTCAAGCATGAATAGATAATCAAATGAGTAACATTTAAAGATATCCCAGAAATTCGTGTTCCTGAAGTTTAAGATACCAAAACTCAATGTATATTGAAACAACAAAAACAAAAGAAGAATTTTTATTGACAACTTGTTGTCAGTACATGTATATTAATGTATAAAACAAAATTTCTGTATCAGATACAAAAACTAATAAAGCAGTTTAAAACCTACAGTGTCATGGTGTCTAATTATTTTGATGTAACATTATCTTTTCTCTGAGTATGGTATTAATTTAAAGTGGTTTGACATCATCCACACAGAAGAGCTAATGCCCACAAAGGCTAACACCCAGCAGGTCCAGCTGCTGCCATAAAGCAACATAGCAGCATTCAGAGGCAACAGAAAAACAACCACTGGTTCTGGTAGCAACACAACAGATTTCCATAAGATGCCCCACAGCACGTAATAAATGGGGGTGCTGCCCAGAATTAGAAGAATTTCTAAGAACGATCTCACAAATGTCCAAGAGTTTGAATGCCAGATGTCACTGCGACATATTGAAGACAGAATCAAAACTACAATTGAAATGATTTTCGTTGGTGTTGTGTGATTGCTGTCTTTGAGGTTGTGAAAAATTTTCATGTCTCTCTGTAAACACATTAGGATCACACTTGCTCCACAACACTGAAAAAAGAGGGAAAATAAATATGAGAGATTGCTATAAATGTTGCTTTTGATCAACAAACTTTTGACTTGAATTAAAAATTCAACTATAGAATAACTGGAACAAATGATTAATACTTGTACCCATAACATGAATTTGTTATAAGAGTGTGTATCTTTGAATTGTTAAAGAAGCTATCGAACAGATAAAGGGACATAACTACTTATAAATTTCTAATTATTAAATTAATGCATTTAGCATCAATGCTAAATCTTTATTTCATTAGAAAAAGAAAAATTCTTGACAAAATGATCAGTGACATTTGCTTAAACTAGTATTAAAGATTTTTAAACATGATTGGTGATTGGTTTAACCTAACTGTGAAATTTACCCATATATCATACAGTAACCCTGTGGAGGGCCCCAGTAGACACAGAAACAGGAAGGAAGTGATGGTTGTTATGTTGCCAACCAATGGTAAATAAGGAATCTCCTTATCATCCTTCTCATGTAGAGGGATATATTCTGAGTTCTGAACCAATAATATTAAAATGATCGATATATTAACTCTTTTATACACAGTTTTACAAGAACATTGAAAACTACACACTTTGGATATATTAAATTACTTTATTCATTTAAGCGCACCTTTCCACTTTCAAATCATTCAGTAATTTAATTCACATTTTTCCTACAGACATGTGTAATATTGAAATTCAAATTATCTTTTGCAAGTGCTTCCAATGAGCATGGAAATATTACATCAAGAATTAAAAAAAAACTATGTATTTAACAAGAATTATGATACATTTATCCAATCATTTTTACTTCTCACAATGCATATAATCTTACCCTAGAAACAACTACTTTGGTGCATATACAAATGATGAGATTTGCTGCAAGGAATAACTTCCATGATGGCAGAGTCAAGATGGGTTGTTTGCGTTCCTTGGTGACCAAGTCAACCACTAATGAAAGGACACTAAGTAAAACTACCAGCATGCATCTGCAAAAAGGAACAAATCAGCATGCACTGTTTACATGCTCTGTTAGTCATATTGCACAGGTATACTTTTTATCAGGGACACCCTGTATTAAACTCATATTAATTATTACATTTTATAAATATATGTATAAAGACAGTGAATATAAAGCACATGTAGTTTCTGAGAAAGTAATTCAAAATCTTTAAACATGTGTCTATCCAATTCCAAATATAACTTTTGTGGAGAATTTTATTCAAAATTTTTCTTATACTTACACTGATAGAACATTTTTCTCAAACTTGTGTCCAAGATGTTCTGATTTTGAGAACGCAAAAAGAGCACACACGAGACACATGGAAACAAGTCCAAATAAAATGAGATTGAAAACTGGTGCCTGGTCCTCAGGATACAACTGAAAGCAGAGAAAACAGTCTTTTTTCAGACAAATCATTCCACACAACTCTAAGAGAAGAATTACTTAGGAATGTTGTAAAAGAATTTGTACAGAGTTAAAACATAGGTAATCAAAGATTACGAAGCTCACCTCGACGAAGGCTATCTATAAGTAAGGCAAATCTCACATCATATTTTTTCTAGTTAGTGTTCATCCCAAGATCAATATCCATTCAAGTTTGGTTTAAGAAGGACTTATAGATACTTGGAAATAGACCTGCTCAAAAAACTTCTAACCTGTTTACTAATCAAGAAAATTTTGGACAGTTCCAACAACCAAAGCAAGTCTGGAAGTTTTCATCCTTAGATGTACCATCCAAGCTGTTTAATCATAACATGCCATAATATTATATAGCTACTCCAGAAACATTACTCTGGTCACCCATCTGGAAAATGTAGGTCAGATTCAGAATCCAGAACAAGTCTGAAAGTGTCCATCCTAAGATACATCATCCATGCTAATTTGATTAAAATATGGCTAAAATTCACTCATCTGGAAAATCTAGGTTAGATTCAGCATCCGAAGCAAGTGTGGTAAGGTCCATCCCTAGATGCATCATCCATGCAACTTTGGTTCAGGTAGGGCTTATAATTACTTGGGAATGGACCTGCTCCAAAAACTTTAACCTGGTCACTCATCTGGAAAATCTAGGTCAGATCCAGCATCTGAAGCAAGTGTGGTAGTGTCCGTCTTTAGATGCATCATCCATGGAAGTTTGGTTCAGGTAGGGCTTATAGTTACTTGGGAATGGACCTGCTCCAAAAACTTTAACCTGGTCACTCATCTGGAAAATCTAGGTCAGATCCAGCATCTGAAGCAAGTGTGGTAGTGTCCATCTTTAGATGCATCATCCATGGAAGTTTGGTTCAGGTAGGGCTTATAGTTACTTGGGAATGGACCTGCTCCAAAAACTTTAACCTGGTCACTCATCTGGAAAATCTAGGTCAGATCCAGCATCTGAAGCAAGTGTGGTTGTGTCCATCCCTAGATGCATCATCCATGGAAGTTTGGTTCAGGTAGGGCTTATAGTTACTTGGGAATGGACCTGCTCCAAAAACTTAAACCTGGTCACTCATCTGGAAAATCTAGGTCAGATCCAGCATCTGAAGCAAGTGTGGTAGTGTCCATCCCTAGATGCATCATCCATGCAAGTTTGGTTCAAGTAAGGGCTTATAGTTACTTGGGAATGGACCTGCTCCAAAAACTTTAACCTGGTCACTCATCTGGAAAATCTAGGTCAGATCCAGCATCCGAAGCAAGTGTGGTAGTGTCCATCTCTAGATGCATCATCCATGCAAGTTTGGTTCAGGTAGGGCTTATAGTTACTTGGGAATGGACCTGCTCCAAAAACTTTAACCTGGTCACTCATCTGGAAAATCTAGGTCAAATCCAGCATCCGAAGCAAGTGTGGTAGTGTCCATCCCTAGATGCATCATCCATGCAAGTTTGGTCCAGGTAGGGCTTGTAGTTACTTGGGAATGGACTTGCTCCTAAAACTTTAACCTGGGACGCCGACGCTAACGCCGACGCCGGGGGTATAGCATAAGCTCATCTCGACTTCGTCGAGGTGATCTAAAAAAAGAATATCGAAGTGACTGAAGTAATTATGAAATATTGCTTGATATCACACATTTCACAGATGACTTAATATGTACCATTCTGAACCAAAGATATACTGTCTATCAGATTTCTAGACTACTTCTAGAAGATTGCATTTAATGCGAATGAATTAAGACCTTGTATTTTCCAGGGATAAAAAGAGGATTTTTCAAGGGTTCACAGCTCAGGTTAACTAAACAAGAGGCCCAAGGGCCTTAACGGTCACCTGAGTACAATACAACAATTTAGAGGATCCATACACTGTTAAATGAAGCTTTGTTGCCCAAAAGCAAGAAAAATAGTATGATAAGCATCAACAAAATAATTGGTACAGAATCTATCTGTTCCCCATTTATCACTATTACCATGCAGACAATTAACAAAAGTTTAATTTCAAATTACTACTTCTCACATTGGTCTCTCTTGGCCTTTGAAGTACATTAAAAAAGATAAGTTATTTTGCCTCACTTTTATTCATCTATTATTTCCAAGTCTACCTGATCATTAAAACTATGAAAGTACTTTTTGTATTACACAATAAATATTCTTGCATAATTCTCTTATTCTATTAACCTTTCAAATACATTATTTACAGTGATAAATTATCAAAGGTGAATGGCAAAGGGGAATAACTTTGCTCAGCAGAATACAAGTTCATAGAGCCCTGGCCAGGACCAGAACACTTGACTAAATAATCCAGGTGTTCAAAATTCTGGAAAAAATACCCTTGAATATTGCAACTTTTAATCTGCTTGCCTCGAATATGCCCAGAAGCATAGAAGATTTTCAAAGAAATGCATGTTCACTATATTATTAAATAAATAAAGCCTCCCCCCTCCCCTTACACCAGAACATCTTACCCAGGGACCATCATAACTATACACTTGTTTCTTTGCTTTATTACCAGTAGTAGAAAAAATATTTTGGAAGAAATTATGCATTTTCACTATAAAATCAATAGAGCCCCCCCCCCCCCCCCTTCACTAGAACCCCTGACCCAGGGGCCATGAATTTCACAATTTTGGAAGAGGCATTCTTCCTTATCATAACCATGCACTTTCTTTGTTTGAATATTACCCAGGAGCAGAGAAGAAGATTTTGAAAGAATTTATGCATTTTCCCTATATAATCAATAGAGCCCCGCCCTAACACCAGAACCCTTCACCCAGGGGCCACGAAATTCGCAATTTCTGAGGAGGCAGCCATGCTCATCATAACTATGTACTTAATTTATTTAATAGCCAGGAGAGAGAAGATTTTCAAAGAAATAATGCATTTTCACTATATATATATATATATATATATATATATATATATATATATATATATATATATATATATATATATATATATATATATATATATATATCAATTGAGCCCCACCCTGACATTAACACCCCTGGCCCAGGGGCCATGAAATTCATAATTTTGGAAGAGGCAACCATGCTCATCATAACTATGCACTAAGTTAGTTTATTTAATATCCAGGAGCAGAGAAGAAGATTTTCAAAGAATTAATGCAAATAATCAACAGAGCCCCGCCCTAACACCTGAACCCCTGACCCAGGGGCCATGAAATTCACAATTTCTGAAAAGGCAGCCATGCTCATCATATCTATGTTCTTAGTTAGTTTATTTAATACCCAGGAGCAGAGAAGATTTTCAAAGAATCAATGCATTTTCACTATATAACCAATAGAGCCCCGCCCTTACACCAGAACCCCGACCCAGGGGCCATGAATTTCACAATTTTTGAAGAGGCACTCTTGCTCATCATAACTATGTACTTAGTTACTTTATTTAATACCCAGGAGCAGAGAAGAAGATTTTCAAAGAATTAATGCATTTTCACTATATAACCAATAGAGCCCCGCCCTAGCACCAGAACCCCTGACCCTGGGGCCATGTATTTCACAATTTTGGTAGAGGGCTCAATGCTTATTACTATCATGCCAACAGTTTGACTGCTTGATGTTCAGGAGTAAAGAAGAAGATTTTTAAAGATAGCACTAATTTTGATGGTTTTAGCCCCACCCCTCAGGCCCAAGGGGGGCAGGGACCATGAAATTCACAATTTTTGTACCCCTTCACCCATTGATGCTATATGCCAAAATTGGTTGAAATTGGTTCGGTGGTTCAAGAGAAGAAGCTGAAAATGTTCAAAAGTTTACGACCAACGGACGACTGACGACAGACGGAAACAGATAGCAATAGGTCACCTGAGTGACTCAGGTGACCTAAAAACAAATTGTTTCATTAATTTATCCAGTACGCTTAATTCAGAAAGTGACCAACTGTCCCCTTCCTTTATGATTTAGGCATACCTTAAACACTACATTTCTGGTTTTTAAAATGAGATACCAATTATATGAGTCACATCTGATTTGATATTTTACAAGAAAGCTTAAAATCAAACAGGACAAACTGTTGCTCTTTCATATTCAAAATGAAGAATATGTTTCCAACTTTTTTATTCTTTAATTCTCAAAAGACCTGGCATTTCTTGTGCCTTTTGCCATTTAAAAAAAATTAAGATACTCCACTCTAAGGAAACCTATAAGTTGCAAAGGATATGGAGCCTTTATGTTTCTTGTATTTTAATTAGCAAAGAAATTCTTACATAGAGAGCAGCCCTGAGTCCGGGCGTGATTCCCACTAGTACAGAGGCCATCACAATGTGGGGAAATGTCTTGATGGTGTCTGCATACATAATCACAATCATACTCATGATACTGATGACCTCACATAACTGAAATATTCCATTTCTAGAAAAAGAGATAAATGTGTCTGTACCATTTTCAATTAACATTCAAGAGTAGAATCATTTTTTCTTGTTAATTTCATGTGTTCCTCAACCAGTTTTTTAAGATTTTCTATCAAACTTGGCAATAAATTTACTCCTGTAGAATTATGTGAGTTGCCTTTATGATTGACTGACTACTGTAAAACCATTTTTTTTTCATATTTAAGCAGACTTTCAGTGATTGCTAGAGATTTACAGGTTAAAGGAGACAATCTTGTGAGCAAAAGTTTTGTTTTGTAAGATTAGATCCACATCAATATAAGCTGAAGTTGTAAATTCATGAAATCCATAAAAGGATTGATCCCACACAAAATGCAGTGATTCAATAAAACAATTTTTTTCATATACATACGCTGTCAATGATACATCTGGCTGAAACATGATAACTATCACCCCAGTAACCACTCCCAGAATTCCTAGCTGCTTGACCTTAACCTCAGATGGAAGGTGAAGGACACAGGTTGCTATGATCAACATGCCACAAATGATGAAACACATTCCTACAATTAGAAGCAGTAGTATTTAAATCTTGTTTTTGTACACCAAACAATTCTCGTATTCACCCAAGAAGTATGAAATAATGTTCATTTTGTACCAACTTTACTTTAATGAAAAGTAATTATAGTTCCTTAAAAGAGCTAGGAATCACCAGAATAATGCAGCACTATGATCTCACAGAAAAGAAATATCAAACATTTACTGTATTAATTACATTTATTTTGTTTGGATCTTTTACTTCTCAAAGGCAATAATAAACTTTATAAAGTTATCCCGCACTTACAAAAAAATGAAAATCTTTTAATTTTAAGAAATGGAAAAGCAGAGGACTAGACACATTGACATCTACAAGTCAAAAGATAGTATAGTTAATCAATCAGGGCCTGTTTTACAAAAGAACTTAAGACTAAGATCCACAATTTTAAATGTTTCTAACATCTCTCCCTCCCTTTTTAGATAATAACTCTTTAATTACCTTTCCAAATCCTCAAAATGTGAAGAAGAAAATAATTCTCACAAACATATTTTGGTTTTAGTTGCAAGTTCTTTTTTAAATAGGGGTCCAGGCCGGAACATAACTAAAAAGTATATGTATGTTCCGATAGATACACCTCATGGAAAAATCCCTTACCCATGGCATCAGCAGCACTGGCCTGTATTTTAAACAGATAAGATCCAAGGATAAACAGGACTGGGTTAGCATTCAGTAAAACAGATATACACATCAGAGTCACATTGATGGCCAACTGAAATAAATGATATAAACATTACTAATACCGATTATAAACTTCATCATCTTTTAAACTTGAGAAGAATTACGTCTTTTTCCTATGCATATCATGCAGTACATTGTTTTTTTTTTCTTTTTCTTGGTATTGCTGTGCTAGGTTGTTCTCAGAGTAATGTTATATTAAATAGCAATACATGTACATGTATATATTTCATTACCGGTATTCACTTACATGTACCTTACACATAAAGCACCTACAAATATTTTGTAATCTGTCATACATACAAGCTCTTATCTGCTTCTGGATTATTCCATGTGTAGAGCATTTACTAATTTTTTTGTTGATGGATGAAAGAAGAAGAAATTTAACTTAGGGGATGTTGGACTTGAAATTTCCGAAACAAGCACGCATGTACATATACACTAACATGATTTAGACTACTTCAAAATTTTCAATCTTCCAGTTTGTGACAAACCTGTTTCTTGGGAATGTCCACCGGAACTTCCATGAGCAACATCTTGATCATCATGAAGATGAAGAAGAACATTGTCAGAATGCTGGTGTAGGGAAGATCTCGGGCCTCCTTAGTGAAGATTACCATGGCAACCAGTGCCGACTTTGTGACGTGGGCAGACATACAGGCACAAGTTAAACTGACTGGAAGCCTTCTTGCTATCTGTAATCTACGATACATTTAAAGTTCATATTCATATAATCATGTTCAACTTTCTCTTTCCTTTGGCACTCAGGAAAATTCTTTGATAAATGGAAGACAATGTACAGTAAAACTTGCTTCTATGGAAGTCCTGGGGACATGAAGTTTTAGATCATTATAAATGAATTTCTTCATATACATGCAAGAATGTAACAATTTAAGGACAGATGATACAGACAAAAGTATGGGTGCCTGGATTGGTATATATTTTTGGACCTATTTTGGTTGTAAATGATGCAAATAATAATTTTCTGAAATATTAAGAATTTGTGAACTCTCTATGATGTTCAAAATTCTACCTTTCTGCAACCATCCTTATTAATCTATACAAATTTTTGTCTTCTTTTATTCCATTATTGTGAAACATTGAATGAAAAACTAAAAACTATGCAGTTAAACTCGTTCATTCTACTTATATAAACATGACTCAAGTTGTTAGGTTCAAGATTTTTGCTAAAAGTTTGTTTATATCATCTGGGGAAAAGCTATAACTTCCTAATAACAGAGCTTTTATTATATCCAAGTTCATTATAAGCAAGTTTTACTGTACATGTATTTGAATCTCAAATCTATTTTTACTCAAGATTGGATGGATTTTAACAAAATTGGCAATCAAAAATTATTCAGGTCAAGAAACTTTTTGTTTACCTTTATATATTGAGGTCATGAGGAATTTTCTACTTACCTTTGTAGAGTATATGAGGCAGCAATACCAGTGACCATAAACAGAGGCCAGTTATACAGGCCGGAGTCAAAGAGGATCACCTCACACTTGATAAACACTGAAAATAATAAAACACGAGCAATTAAAGTATAAGTTAGAGAAAATTCACAACTGGTTTTCAAAGCAATGGTCTCCTTTGTGCATGTTTATTTCAAACTAAGTTCCATCCATTGCTGTTCTTTGTCTCATCACTCCCAAACAAGATTTCTTTTTCCTTCTTCAACATGAGAAATCCTTAGCAAGTATTTGATTGGTTGACATGACACCATTATACTTCAATAAAACAGTTTTCCTCTTTGTATGAAGAAGTGTAGACCTGAGACACATACACTTATACTTTGTGTGCTATGTACTGTAGATTCCTAAATATATGCAAGGAATTTATCATTGCGTAATTTCCCAAGAAGCACCACTTGCGAAATAAAATTAAGGGCTTTTATCTTACATTGCCTAAACATTTAAAATTTTTCATAAACAGTCCCACTCGCAAATTAATGTTCTCGCGATTTGACATCTACAGGTCCTTTGCGATATTAAGTACTTGCGTAAAAAAGGAATCTACAGTATATAACATACAATGTTACACTCAGTAAGCTATAATAACCACCTACCTATGGTTTGTAATACCACTAGGAGACTGAAGGCTGCCTGAGTTCCGTGAGAGGACAGATGTACAGCTGTCAGACACAGGACAGAGTTAGCTATCATCAGACAGAATATCATCTTCAGCGATATCCCAAACATAAATGTATATGTAATATACTGTTAAGGGGATACACATAACTTATTAAAATAAAAGATCATTTTTTTTTAAAAAACTTTTTCTTTTGAATTTTTGAGGAGTCTAGAAAGGATTAAGTGTTATACAATGATTTACATATTCTGTTATTGTCTTTAATGCAATATTTAGAATTTTTCATTATATGTGTACTAACACATTATTTTTATTATGTATGGTATACATTGTTTGTCAGAAATTGTATAAAGGATATGATAATTTCCATGGCAATTTAATTGCCCACACCAAAGACAAAATCACAGCTACCACAAAGAACACTGTGGAGATGAACTGGAAAAGAAATAATTGTAAAGTAACCAAAGAAGTTATTGCTTGTGAGCATTTAAGAAAGTAATAACGATCAATTCTTGATTGAAATAAAGTTAGAAGACTTTTGTCATAGTGAACATTGACACAAGGATTAAACACTGATATGATGAAAATGGCTAATTTGCACAGACATGCACAGAGTATTGTCATTTGGAATTCCATGACACTGATGAAAATAACTTTTAGAAGAGGTTTTAAATGTATTGAGAAAACCTCATGTTTCTATATTTATGCTGGACACTTGACATTTTTTCTCCCTAACCTTAAGTTTTCTATAACTAAGCAGTGTTCCATATACAGCATAAACTCCAACAGCAAATGGCAGCCATGACAGAAAGTGTGATGTCACTCCCAGCTCTAGGAATACTGGGTAAGACAGGAAGGCTGCCACACCCCCACAGAGACTGCGTAACTGTATCACCAGACTGTACTGGAAACCTGTTTTAATTCATAATATACAGAACCGTTTATAAGCATACCATTATTTATGCTGCTATCACAGGTACATGTAAATCATGAGTACATATGTAAATCATGAATACAGGGATACATACAATAAATGACACAAAACACACTCTAATCAACTTCTGAAATGGATAATCATGGCCTAAATGTGATTCATTATTGTAAAGAATTCAATGATATTTGCAAAACAATCTCACAAGAGATAATTAAGCATTATCTATTATTATACTTTCATGTTAAATACTAAAATCTGATTCGTTTAGAGGCATTTAACAATCCCTAATGTTACCCTCAGCGTTAGCAACACACTTGACAACGGGTAACATTACGAAAATATCACATGCGTTCAAATGATGCGCGTACGGTTCACCGTAGAATTCTCAAAACGTCGGTTGTGCGTTTGAAAGAAGTCGAATAAACGACGTCAATAAAAGCTTGCGTCCGATGTAGCTTACTTGAAAACAACAAACGACAGACGAAACATCCTTGCGAGTGCAAACTTTAGATGATAAAGGACTTTTTGAGTAGCAAACAAACAAAAAAGAGGTTGGTAAATCTTTTCCGAAGCTTTCTTATTAAAAAAATAGAAGTGGGGAGTGTGAAAGCTTTCTAAGCGTGAACTTAACGACGATCTCCGAATTTTTTGTATGATATCCGAAATCAATAAGACATTCAGTATAATAAAATAAATAGTGCACGTTTTTGAGGGTAACAGTTGAAATTGACACCCCTCGGAAAACCATTGTCAACCTCCGCTGACGCGTCGGTTGACAATGGTTTTCCTTGGGGTGTCAATTTCAACTGTTACCCTCAAAAACGTGCACTATTTATATAATGTGAATAAGTACATGTATTTACTTCATATTTAAAACTGGATGAGGATATCAATTTTTTTTCTGTTACACTCTTGCAAGCAAGATTGCAGAGTGTTGGAAGGCGAATTCAAAAATCTGTTTGGAGCAGATCTGAACTTTTGGTTGCTTTTTCCAAGGAAGAGTAAAGACAATAAAAATGATGATCTCTCCGTACCTACAGCTTCCACAATGTGTCTGATACTCATCAAAGTCATCAGAAACACAGCCAAACACAACAAGAACAGTAACTCACACTGAAATTAAATGAAAGACATATTATTGGTCTACATATGCAAATAACTTCAAGGATGTAATCAGAAGACTTCTAATGTCTCTCATAGTGTTTTTGTGTGTGTGTCTTTCCATTTAAATACTGCATTATAATCATTTGTAATTTGTTTTGTTTTTTTCCAAAGTTATTGAAAGGCCAATCAAATCATGCTTGAGATCTGGTAACATATATATCACTGTATGTGTATTCCACAAACTTTTATGGAACTGTAACAAAAGCTACTTTTTAGATTTATAAAATTGATAATGTTCATCTCAAAAGAATTACTGGTATTACTTACAAAGAAGCCTAAGTGAAAGACTCCATGAAATCCTCTCTGATACAGAGCAATGAGAATCTGAAGGAAAACAGGAAGTAAACAAAATCCAGTTGCCATGGCAGCAATGAGTTGGTTGTTAAGGATATTGACATCCTCCTTGTGATCCTTCAGGTTCAGTTTGAAGGAAGAGGTGGCTGGTGTCATGAACACTTGAAATAAAACAAACCTGAAAGTAAAAGCAGTAGAAAGATTTTGAAATTATGCATAGAGATTCAAGGAGTTCCTTGGTTTCAAAAGCAATTCTTTAAACTCAGAATCAAATAGTAGACCCTAATATCTATATTTTAAATGTCTTTGTCAGAGATAAACCTACATATAAGCTAACAGCTTTATATTCCCATAAATTTTTTCAGCACATGACAGACACTGGGAGGGCCTGCAGAGATTTCTAATTATTGAATAAAAATATTTTTTTAATTGAATGAAGGATCTGTTGAAAATGTAAATATAAGGAAAAACTGCCTGTTTTTTTTTTTTTTTTTTATTTTATGATAATGCTCAATCAGTTTACTTGCATTTAATGCCCTGTTCACACGGAGAGTCTAATTCGAATTAAACGTAAGTTACTGCGAATTAAATTTGATCCGTGTTCACACGGAGAATTTAATGCGAATTAGTTTAATTCGAATTAGTTTACTGCGCATTAAATTACTTCGCATTAGCTCCGTGTGAACGCTAAGCGAAGCTAATTCGAATTAAATTCTGACGCATGCGTAAGGGCAGAATTAAGTCACAGGCCACATGTCGATGGTCAAATATAGGTACTTGTGCTATTTTTGAGTGGAAAACAAAGGAAAATTATGTTAATCACTAAAATGTGTACAGACACTATGACATTATGTCAAATGTATACCTGCTCTGCACAATATGACGTGATTTGTAAATGACGTCATAATAGCCTCACTGAAAAGCCTTGTTGTAGAAATAAAATTATAATTCGCATTAGTTTACTTCGCATTAGCTGTCGTGTGAACGCAATTTAATTCGCATTAGTTTAATTCGCATCATTTTACTTCGCATTAATTTACTGCGAATTAAACTCTCTGTGTGAACAGGGCAATAATGTTAAGCAAATACGCCTTCGGCGTTTATGCTGATCATCATGCGAGCAAACTAATTGATCACATCATAAAACCAAAAACTAGACAGATATTCCTTAAATAGATTACAAGATATGTTCATGTAGTGCCACTTTAAATTCCTAACAGAGGAAGTAAAGATTTTTGGTATCAAATCTTAAAATCTGGATTAACTTTTGAGCCTATGCTTATCTATGATGGCAGTAACTTACCCTATAAAAAGCAAAATAAATGGCACATATATAAGAGGTACAAAAGTGGCGATGGCCCAGGTTGTGAGACAGGCTGACAGAGCAGGATATCCCGAGAAAAGGACCGCCTCCAAAAACTGAAAGTAGAGTAAAAGGTGTATTTATTTACATGAATATATGTGAAAAAAATAAATACATGACCAACACTGGACAATTCGGTCTGTTGTAATGATCACAACATTGGACCTAAGGCACTGTACATCCATCAGGTCAAACAGTTTGATGCCTTTTACAAAGACTGGCATGAATAGCATTGGTTTTCCTCCAAAGCATAAAAGTAATTGGAACTTGCATATCCTTAACATGCTGTGAGGTGTTAGGGACAAATAATTTCGATTCATTATAAAAGTAATTTGTTATGTGCTTTTGGTTCAGAATATGTTTCAAGACTATGTAGAATGAAACATACTTCGCTCTCAGGATGAATTCATTATATGTATGCTCGCTGTAATCATGTTTTCCTGTATTTATGATACATCTCCTAATAAATCACAACAGGCATTAAGAATTGCTTAACTTTCAAGATTACAAATATTTACAACTGAGTTCCCAATAATATGATATGTTTTGTTTCAACTAAGATCTGTTTTATAAAATAAAATTTATGCAGATTTATTATTAACTCCCATAAATCACCAGGGCAACAAACATTTGAGTTTATAAAGAATCATAAAACCTCTTACCACACAGATCTCGGGTTCCTGTTTCCTGAAGATGATCATTTGTAGTAAGGCCCACCCACCAGTTAACAGTATAAATGAATTCATCATAACCATCAAAGCAATATTCACCACTGACACCCTGTAAAAATAAATTCTTAAAATTTAATTCAATATAATGCATGCAGTCTTATTGGAATTTTTACCATGTCTGAGACTTTAAGTTCTAATTTAAAAAGCAGTTATGAAAATACTTTTTTAAAAATTAAAATTTGAGACTTCATTTATTACATGTTCATTAAAAATTTTGAATACAAGTACAAATCAAGTGTAAAGTCAGGGTCCATGAAAAAGAGTAGTAAATATATTTCATTGTGTTGCACAGAATGATGCAGATAATACTGATTTTAAAGGATAAAGCTATTCATCTTTATTCCTCCCTTGCATTTTTTTTTTGTATGCAACTTTTGAATAAAGAATTATTTTTAGAAAATATTGTTTTCAAAATATTTCAACTCATTAAAAATTGTTATTTCTTACCACACAAGAGGAAAAGTAAAGTAGAGAATGGTCATATGACACGGGATAAATACAAAGGTAAAAATCATCACTGTCCTACAAAAGAAACAAAATATAATCAAATGTCATTATCTGAAACTTTACAGGACTGACAAGTGGGAAAAAAATCGTCAAAATATCCAATGGTGTGAAATATAAAAGTTGATATTCTCTACTCATGTACATCTAGAACAATTGAAACCAATCAATGTCATCTTTTACAAGACCAGTATATTGAGTATCTTTGTTTGAGATATCAAAAGATCACTGTACATTCAGGGGCTGACAAATAGATTTTTTAGGCACTTGTCCAAGGGCAAGTGCATGGTCAAAATTCACTTGCCCTACCTGAATATTTGCTTGTCCCACCATAAACTATTATCATATTTATATATATATTTAAAAGAAAATGGAATACAAATACTGAGTAGATCATGCAAACCCCTGTACAAAGCTTTAGATCTATGACTTGCAAATGGATTTTTATTTTTTTCAAGTCACTTGCCACAGGCAAGTGGTTGATAAAATTCCACTTGCCCACCCTTATAATTCACTAGCCCTGGGCGTCAGGCAATGGGATTTGTCAGCCCCTGTATGTTAAATTTTAAGCACTGAATGCCCACTTCTTATATAAAGCACTGTGTCATAAATCAGTAAAAAAATGAATAAGTGATTCCTTGTCATAAAAATTGTAGTGTAATGCACTCCTGCTGATTTATGACAAAAAAAGCCATATTAAAGTTTTACTTTCAAATATTATGATAGCTTTAAAAGTTTGTATCAGATAGAAGTGAGACTAACCTCTGATTTTTGCTCCCTGTGTCTATCACTAAAGTCAGAATCACCCCCACAGACACTAGCAACAGAAGCCTGAATGCATACAAAACATAAGTCTTATCCAACCAGATTCTTTTATTTTTAATGAAAGCAAACTAAATAGAACAAGCAAACAGATAAACTTAGAAGATATTCACATCTCATTTCTTAGAAGAATTAAACTTTTAAATAACAATGAAAGTTACACAAGAGTTTTCTTACGGTTCTCCACAAATGGCCAGTATGATGAGAAAACAAGGGAGAGCAGCCATGGCCACCTTCCTGTTGTGTCGGAAAGGCCCAGGATCCACTAGCTTCCTGATCCTTCGAGACAGTTCCACAGAGCTGAGGGGCTCCTCCAAATCCTCTTCTTCCTCCCCCTCCTCTTCACCCCCCTCCTCCTCCTCTTCTTCATCTGTCTCCTCAGCCCCTCCCAGGTCTACAGGGGTCAGGTTGTCCACATTGGCTTGGTAGGGGGTTCTTTGGTAAACTTCACTGTTCATTTTATGTAGATTCTGTTTAAAACAAATTTAAACAAAGGAAAATTTTTAAAATGCACAAGTTCCATGTATTTTAGCTTTTGATTCTGAATTTATGATCATATTGAACTAACACTATGAGTAAGACAGCAACCAAATTGTATTATTACTCTACCATGCCTGCTGTCAGATCTTGTTTCTTGTTGGAGATTGACAGATATGTAAGATATTGATGTACACATGCAAAATTGTTTGAAGGCTCTAAATTCACTCTTGAGTACATCTGGGAGGACAAATAAAGAATTCTGTAGACACGTTTTTTTCTTAGATTTCTTTATGTGTATTTGAAGTTTTGACTCTAAATAGGACAAAAAAATGTTTGAATAGATAATCAAGTCAAAAATAAATATTTTATTAATGTTTGAAATATGTGTCACGTAACACATTACAGACATATAACGTAACATGACAGACGTATGATGAAAAAGTGACATGATTAAATTACATTTCTGATGCTTAGCAATACAAATAATCTGTAAAAAATAAAATTAAACAATTCCTTAAACAATGCAAAAAATTTTTTCACTCTTACGTAGAAGAAAAAAGATTTTAAAGCTACTTTTGATGCACAAACTGATGATCGTAACACTGACAGACTCCTTTACTTAGCCAGCCAAATAAACCATAAACTTTCATTATTTTATCAAAAAGATAATGTTGCCGTAAGAAATGGACATTATTCAAATTTTGATTCCTCATCATATCTTTTATTCTTGGAAATTATAATACACAAGACATTATTATTTATGAAAATACTAATGAAATTTAAAAAAAATAAATTATTTCACATAGATCAAACCTATATCGTAACATGTACGGATGCACGTAACCCTGACAGACTCGTTTTAAAAACTGCACGAAAACAACTACAAAATTGTATTGTTTAAGTTATAAAGACAAATTTTGCCTTATGATACACTAATATTCTTAAATAAAAATACTTTTTGATTTAATTCACTGAACATATAAATCTGAATGCACCCGTTTGATTCACGTAACATGAACAGACATTTGTTTTGTCCGTCACCGTAACGATAGTATTCAAGCAATGTCTGTCAATCGGTACGTTATGTAAGAAATGTCAAATTTTAAGTGTTTATGTGGTGATGAAGAGCATGCAAGTTCATATTTTTAAAAAAGAATCCAAAATACACCTATTAGTTGACAATATTTGATGATATGTGTTTAAAATCTAGGATAAAGACAACTTATATTTTCATGAACGTAACATACTTTGTGTAACGTAACACTTGACAGACAAACGTTCGTGGCTTCTCGGGCCTTATCTGTAGCTCTTCTTATCGAAATGTAAACACATTTGCATAGAACACTGGAGAAAATTTTAAAATTCATAACCTTTAAGTAAAATGTATAAGAAGAAGCATCTCCGAGCTCCATTCTTGAAATAGAACGTAACGCCCACTTGCCATGACAGACACAGGAAGCATCCCACAGATTTGTTAATTTCTAAGTATACGTGCTTTTCTGTTGAATCTGCGATCACTTAATTGATAAACAGGTAAATTTTCTATCAGTAGACAAGATTGATAAAATAGTTTGCATAAACAATGGCCCATTTTATAACAATGTACCCGGTGTATTGAGACTGACAGACATTACGTTCAAAATATGAGAAGAAATAAATTCCAATTTTTCTATTATTTGAGACATAATGTGCATTAAAATACTTTTGTATGTTAATTTTATCCTTCCTAAACAGTAGTGAATGAAGATATTCTGTGTACAAGGTATTATCGCCTTATATTTGACTTTTATTTTGACATGGTTGAAAATGTCGATCCCCTACACATGCGTAATTCTAGTGGAATTATCAAATTCATTTCAAGAAAAAAAAGTAAGTTGATGAAAAAATCTGCTTATTTTATCTTTTTTTATATATTTGCAATATACTTTTCAATATAAAACATTTCTTATGTCATTTTTTTAAATAATTTATTTTATATTCCTCTTGTTAAAATCATAGGTCAAGATGTACTCAAGAGCGAATTTAGAGCCTGAACTGAAAGCATGTGTATTATCACAAAGGTTTGTTTTCATTAATTTCAATGCATTGTTGCAACATTAAAATCCCTCTCCCCTAATTAAAATAAGCTGTGTTTCGATCAGGACAGGGCCTCACCATAAGTTAGAATATGTTCCATATATATATATGTAGCTGCGACAATCCAGTTATAATTAGATCCTTTACGGTCCGGTATTTTGTTATGTCGACATAACAAATTATTGGAACGTAAACATGGTAAAGGATCTAATTTTAAAATTCGAAATATGCGGCTTAAAGGAACTCATTTTAATTAGATTGGTAGTTGCAATGTAGCAAAACAAAGAAGATACACTCTGCTACTATTTTCAAATATACGTATGAAGTTACAATGTAAATAAACACAAAATTAATCATAACATCCCTTTTGTAAGCTTGTATTGTTCAACAAAAAAAAGTCATCCGTTTGTTATTTAGGAAATTTATCATATTTTCTCATTCTTTTCTCTCTTTTTAAATTTGATAGCCATGCTGACATTTAAAAGTTCTGATCTCTATGAATTGTTTACAACAGGGACCTGTACTAAGTAGTATATAGGTTCCTGTTTACAGTATGAATGTGAAAAGGATAATTTAGCAAAGCCTTAAAAATACATTCCGAATTTTCTCAGACCATTTTCTACAGAAAATTTTTAATTCAATTGCTATTCTTATAATTAAATTTATCTCTTTGTTACTGGATAAGATACCTATGTATCCAATTATTAAGCTTCTCTAAAAACTCAAATGGGAAGACTCAATCCAAAACTGTATCCAGCAGAGGATGAATTTCGTTTACAAATCTTTCTAGTTTTGGTCGTAAAAATTGCTTTCGTAAAATCTTGAAGTAAAGCTAGTTCTGCCGCGTATTCGAATTTGAGGAAACCCCCATACATGACGTCAATTGACGCACCAGTGGGGGAAATCCTCTTCAATTATCGTGACGTCACATCGAAGGTGTACAAGATGGCGGCCGTCGGGTGCCTTGAAAGGGACCGCGGGAAGGAAGCTATGGCTAAAGATGGGGCACAGGTGCTCGATTTTTGCCGGAAAAGTGGAGTAAATCGCTCTTTTTGCTTTGATGATAAATCTAATGAGTGCTTGGGTAAAAATGGTGGATTTATAGAGAAACTTTGCAGACTGAACGGCTCAGTGAAGAATTCTTCATTCATCGAGCCTACCACTTCAATGCCCACCCTTCGATCCCGTGGGGACAGGAGGTCATCGGGATCAGAGCCTCAAAGGAGGAAAAGAAGGCTTTCGAAGCCAGAGAAAGCAGATGCGTAAGTTTGCTAAGACTATCTTTCTGCAAAGTGTGAAACATGCTGCACATACTTTCTTTGGACAAAGACTTTAGCTGTGGGGCCACCGAGGGGAAATTGAATTTAATACACATTGTCTCGTTGTCTGCCTATCGATTTCTTTATGAAACATTTATTTTGTTCCCCAATACACATTAAGGTCTCAGTTTCATTGATTAGGGGGATTTCTTTTAAGAATTTATTGGTTTAGGTAAAGAATTTTAAAATTTGAAAACTAATTTTAATTCTCATTTTTTTCCTTATACCATTGAGAAATTGACATGTAATATTTTTAAGATAAGTCTTTATTTAAGACATTGTGGTGTAATAAATATCCTTTCCTATTTGAATTTCCCCCCTCCCTTAAAAAAATATAAATATATATAAGGTTGATTTTTTTTTGGAGGGGAGGGGGGGGGGGAGAGAGAGAGAAAGTTGAAACACAAAAATGAGTTAATAAGCATGATAATCCAAATTTCCAGAAAATTTTTTCATTACCCAGTCATTCATTTAAAATATATCCTTATTTAAGATTTTACTTTAATTATTAAAATTTTGAATTGGAATCAAGGAAGTTGCATACACAATGGATTGGAAAATATGAAAATATTACATATCCTGGATGAATTTTTTTTTTCTGGGAGCAATGATGTCTAGTCAGCTTGTGTGGTTATCTTCAAGTGTACACACATGTCCCATAGTAGATAAGCCCACAATGGGGGCTCTTAGAAGCGCATAGATCTGATCATTAAATTGTACTGATCATGCTTTTTTAACGTATTTATGCATATTTTTTGCAATAACAAAATTTTAGGCATACCAGTCATTTGATTTTCAACACAAGTTAAGTTTTTGGTCATCCTTTATCAAGGAAATTTTTCTCCTTTACAGGCATAAAAATGTGTGTATTTGAAAGCTCTTAATAAAAATTGAAACAGAATTTAGTTTAAGAATGGCCTCATTTAAAAAAAAAAGAACAATAATTAAGAAGTGTAAAATATATATATTGCATTGCTAATTTACAGCCAAGATTTAGTAAAAGTTAAAAATTCAATAATATTATAAAAACAATTTTATGATCTAAGTGATAGCCAGAATAATTTTGAAATTACACGTGCTCTTGTTAACCTTTTGAACTTGGTGACAGAATTCTAATACAGAGGACTCTGCGGTTTTCAGTAGGGGGAGGGGTTATGTTTACCTGGATCATAAAAAATGAAAACAAACACAAAAGGGAGTGTTGAGTGACCACAGAATCTCGTTTTTAAATAGGATCATGTGCAAGGCTCTCAAGTATTCGAACAATGGCTGAAGAATTCACTGATGCATTTATGGTATTATTTCAGTGTCATACATTTCAGCCTATGTGGTAATTTCATGTTCGGTTGAATTAATTAAACCACTTTTTGCAAATGATTATACCCATCCTGTATTGAGGGGAGAGTGTCACCCAAAGCTTATAGATTTAAAAATACATGTATTAATTGATTCATTTTTGCTTTCATTTCTCTGCAAAACTGAATAATGGATTTTAGATATATTTTCAAAAATCGAACTTGCATACATTAATAAGAGAGTAATTTATCGTTAACATTATTTAGGATTATATGGACTACGTGTGTTGAGTGTGCAGTGTGCACAAATCATTTACAAGATACTTATGCGACTCAAATCTCATTGAACCTAATTCATAAGCTTCTATAAATATATTAAATGAGTTGCCATGTACACTCTATATATGTCTAACTTGAAGTGCACACTTGAATTGCACATGTATGCACAGCACGTTTTTTTTCCCCCTGCTTGTAGCAGCTGTTCACTCATGCACTTACACTGTGTTGTCACCAATAGAGACATTATATTTATAATAATCTCTGCATCTCATAGCTGCTGCAATATAGATTTTCATTTCATAGTTCTTGGTATTACACAAAAAACAATACTGGTTGCACAGTGAATTAGCAGTATAATGATCAAATGCCATCTTTGCTAGCCTAGCTATATAAGGTTTTCAGTCCACTTTGCTCCTCGTGGGCAGGTAGCGGACCAAAAAAAAACATTGACTTTCTAGGATGACTTAATGCCTTTATAACATTAACAGTTTGATATTTATAATGCTGATTGCAGATATACCTGCATAAACTATTAAAATTCTTTATTGCAAATTACACCCATATGGGTCAAGCAATATACAACAGTGGGGGGGGGGGGGGGGGCTGATCCGTACTATGTATGGAATGCTTGATAAAGTTTTACTTTTTTTCAAAATAGCACAATTCGTAATTTAAGCCAGTCATACAGAATCCTTGTCTGTCCCTTTAGTTTTGGGTTCAAGTTCTTTCACGTAAATGGGTAAAGTTGACACGCATGTAATCTTATTGTAGTAGGAATTTTGTTGACACAATATCTTTTTAAAAATCAATGCCAGTTGGTTTAACTACCTGTTCTCAGGCAGGTGTTTTGGGGGAAAATTTATAACAAAAAGGGAAGGAAAAGACAATTTATTCAGTAACTTAAAGTGTTTCCAAAAAAACATTTTGCTAAATGAAAATATGTAGTTTGCCTACTTTGGACATTTTCTCTCTCTCCCTCTCTTCCTCCCTCTCTCTTTCCTCAATATTGTCAAGGTTATCAATATACATGTACAAGCATTGAAGTGTATCAAGTCAACTTTGAAAGAATAAATAACTTTAGTCAGATTTTAGTGCACAGTCTTTGAAATAGTCTACAAGTGAATGTCATCCTAGATGATACTTATATGTAAAGCTGTAAGTAAAGTCTGCCACCATTTTGTCTTGCTACAAAAAATAAAGCAAATTCACGGAGAGAAAAAAACCAAATAAACAGAGGTCAATGAAAACATAAATATCTTGGTCAATTAGTGTGACAGTCAATGTCATATATACTGGTCTTGCTTTATAACCTGATACAATCTTATTTATAAGGTAATGATGGAATCAAAACTAAAATTTCTGTTTTCCTTTCCATGCTTTCTACAAGCATCTTGAAGATATTCCAAATCTAATCAATTCCTTTTTGCTGCAGAGGAACTCCTTTCTAATTTTCATTGAAATCAATACAAATCAAAAGAAAACCGTTTTTGAGATCTCATTTCCTAATAAATATAAACTTGGTGAAGAAATGATGTACGTTAACGCCTACTAATGATAAAAGGAAACGTGTGGGGCAAATTAATGAGTAGGGAAAATATTTTAGACATATACATATAGAAGTATTATGTTCTTTTAGTTTTTTCTTTTTATTTTTTAAGAAGTTCACTTGCCAGGTTAAATTTTTGTGTATGTACATTTGTCATTCATTTTGATGGAATATTAAATGCATTTATAATAATCCATCGAGTTTGTTGATCCATTGGGTAAAAAGTTTAGAGCATATGTGTCTCTATTGAAATTTATAGAATGCGCATATATATGTTTACATATTGAGTCTCAGTGCAAACTGCAAAATCGTAAATCTTCCAAACTATTCCGAGTTCCTAGGGAAATCTACTGCTTCACACGTTTGTTTCACATTCCCTTTCCGCAATGCAATTTCACTGTCAGTAGTAATGGTGCTATTTTCGGTGCTAATATTTTTTATCTGCAGGGCCATTGCAAGAATTTCAGTCAAGGATAAAAAATTGCTGAGTGGCTTTAAAAAAAAAAATAACATAATCACTTTTTCGTGGCAGGCTTTCTGACCCATTTGATAGGCAGAGATAAGTTGTTCCCCTATTCGTACACTCTGTCGAGTCAAGCCCGAGTCGCATGCATAATGTTCGTAAATTGAGACATCTCTCCCGGCTAGACAGAAAGATTACCTTTTGATGCACATGAAACTGATCTCTTGTAGGCAGTAGATAATTTTACATGTAGGCTAAGTGTCTACTTCACTTTTCTTTGTTTTGTTTTGTTTGTTTTTCTTGTTGCATAAGAGCATGCATTTAAAGTTTATTTTACATATTTGAAAGAAAAAAAATCTAGTTCTACCTAGATCTATTAATATTTAATTATTCTTTTACTAAAGCTTTAAAGACTAAGTTCTTTTTAATGATGTGATAAAATAATTTTGCCATCAATCATGTCTTATACATGTATATATTAAGATTTAGCCAGACACAACAATTTTAAAAATAGATGTAACATGAATTCATGGGAAGTGTGCATCTTATCTATATAGATGTAGCTGTTGAAAAAAATTTGATTTACAGTATTTTTTCTCGTTTTTTGTAAGAGTAAAATGATTAAAATAGTTCAATGTATGACAAATTAAGTCCAGTGATCAAACCCTGTTGCTGGCATTCTAGTTTATAAACTCTACATGTGCATGTGTTGGTTTTTACTTATTTGCCAAATGGTAAATCTGCAGTCATACAAGGTAGATGAAAAAATGACATTTTTCTGAAGTTAGCATAAATAGAGGATATTCCATGTTTTGTAGATGAATATGGAATTTATTTCACGAGTGGGACAGGATTTTTTGATATTTTCACGA